CCTTATTTGGTATGTTATCCCATCATAACAGCTTCTTCGGTATGTTTTCGTCCAAAATCATCACTCATTCATTGTTGTGCGTAGCTCAGGCCGACATCACACTCAGTAGAATGAACGGCTTCTCGAAATCGATGGTTTATCGACACTGGGAAACCTTCATGCGAATACGAAATGATAGGTCAGCATAAAACGCAGCACCTAGATTGGACGAACTTATCTAGAAATTTCTGGAAACTGCAAGCAATGTAATTGAGGGTTCGAAGTCACCACAGGACTGCAAATTCTGCTCATGTCACGAAATTCGTTTGGCTTGCATTTTTACATTTTATTCTGTCATGAAAATGAATAGCAGAATTGAAGAAATAAAGATTATACCTTATGATTTTGACTATAGCATCAACTATACTTTATTTCTTCTGATGACGATACTTTCCAGATCAATCCCATTGACTAAGGTCCTCGAAAGTGTAGTGAGTAATATTTTATTCCCCGTGAGGGGTGATCGCATCTTTCAGTCCTCTTTACGTTTAGGGGTTTTGCTCGTATTTCAGCATCTCTGTAATAACATTTCATATCGTATTATGTCATGAAAAAGATTAGGCAGTAAATAAAAGTCAAAGATTGTGATTCCGACTATAAATTCAGCTTTGCTATATTTAACACGCTGTGTACCACAATAATTTTTGGGGTGACAAGCGGCGTGATCGCGTAGCGAACACACAGTTTCAGAGCGAATACGTATGTAGTAAAACAAAGAGTACTTGTTTCTAGCACTTGCAATAAATCGACCGTCCCGTGTTCCTAAAACTAAGCTTCTGAGTTCTCTGACTTCCAGGTATCCAGATCTAAATGCTAGTGTTTGGGAGGCAAACGGAATGTTTGTGGAGCAAATGTTGAGTCTGAAATCACGAGCATTGCATGTTCGCTCACTCTTAGGCTTGATGGAATGAAAAAAGCTAAGAAGCCTTAGATTTTTTGCCAAAATAGATGTTGGCATACAGCATATGTTCCGTCGTTTCACTTCATTCCACTAAATTTTATGAGATTCCGTTCTTCTATAGACAGGTGTGCTCACACTCGCTTGCACGACTGTAGTATGTCTCACTGTTTATACCCAACCCATGCAGCGTAATCACTGCTGGGATATTGATAGCCTCAATTAGCCTAGTGGAGTTGTTTCGCCTTTCAGTCTTTTTTTCTTTAGTCGCATAAGATGTATATGATTCACGAAAAAGTTGCTCATCAGGTGTGATTGGATTCTTATCGATATGGAATTTCGATGTGGATCCGGTTGTCATGGCAACGCTTCTAATGTCCATAGGAATGAGCGTTGATTTCATCTCATGTGGCATATCATCGTGTATCTCTTGTCCATCACATTTACGTGAATTTACATCAGCTCTTAGAATATGCTAAACGTGTAACGACGAAATCGCGCCGATAGCAACATGTAAAGTAGTCGGTTAATGCTTTATGTTCAGCTAACAGTTCGAAAAGAAGTTCGTGATGGCTGTGTTTTAAAAATACCAGTCCGTGGTCCACAGCAGTAGCTTGAACATACACTGAGATCCGTTCGTTGGCCCATTTTACAAGCCGCTATTTCTACAGTCTGCTGCACTCTTCCTCTATTATTCTTAGCGGTGAGTTAATGTTCTTTGAAGATTGAATTTTGAGGGCAAATTGTGTCCTGATAATTATTTGATTTACGCCATTGGAATTAGTATACCCAATATGTGGAGTACTGTGCAAAAACGTTTGCGTCAGCCGGGATTTGAACCCAGATCTCACTCTTTCCGGGAGCGTATGCTAACCGGGAGTAAATAAGAGTGCTGTGCAAAACGAGCGTCGGTAGTGCAACGGTTAGCAGGAGCTCCAAAAAGAGTGAGATCTGGGTTCGAATCCCGGCTGACGCAAACGTTTTTGCACAGTACTCCACATATTGGGTATACTAATAACATCATACCACTGCAAGTGGCAGTCAAAATAGAAAGAATTATGACTGGCTATTGGAATTCCCTTCTTGACGCTTTACTATCCTATGATAACCCGAAGTCATTCCTGTACAGAAACTTTAATTACGATGAAGTTCGATATCTCCACGATTATACCCAGACAATACCAAGCGAGTGCAACAGATAAGCGGCGTTCGGGTGAGAACCTGTTTGTAAGGTGACGAAACCTTCGTTCAATCCATAAAATTCAACGATTGCCTGGAGTACCAATTTGGGGAAGCCCTGATAAAATCAGTTGGAACATCTCTTCATTCGACTGCTTTTATAGACTTCGCTTGAGAAATAATAATTTGATAATATGATAACACGTTTTGAACCTTTTTATGAGTTCTGATATGGTACTTGTGCCGTACTAAACAGACCTATTTTACCTTTCTAGACTCATCAGTAGCAGAGTGCCTTTCGGTTTAGCCGATCTCAGGGGGAAATACATGGAGAAATCGACGCCGAGTAACAAATCACCCCAACTTAGGTGATGAAATTCAGTACTTTACAGGTCTAGTACTGTATAAGTGCCATACTAGACCTTATAAAAGGCTCAAAACATGTTATCATATTATTAGTTGTGATATTCAAGAGAGAAAGTATTATTTCTCAAACAATATGCAGCGTCAGGCGATGATTCAACAGAATGGTGGTACAGTCGGTAGCAATCAGAACAACAAGCCTCCTATTTCCTGTCCCTCACCTACAGTACTTGAAAGTCTTCTCAAGCAATATTCTTCTTAATGCTCTCAAATCACAGGTCACGTCAAATTCCATTTTCGACTGGCATGGGCGAAAAGCAATAAAGTCAATACACAGTGGCCAAATAAGAGAGCTTTTCCCTCGCTAAGAAATTGTTTGCTCATACAACTTTGAAAGAGTGAACTTTCTCGTGCAACTCTGTATGTCAAATCGTCTTTTCATACCAGTCTTATCGTAGCAGAAAGTCAACCAAAAAATTTATCGCCGACGACTTCAACGCCTAATTAGAGATTATCAGTGAAATCCACACAATTCAACTTCAACTCGGGATACAATTTTTGCTAGTGCCCAGTAAGAGAACAAATCTTATTTTACGAGAACATTCGTCACGAACGCATTGATCAGTAGCAAACCAAAATGATCTGGAGGAAAGGTTGCAGATTTTTGGCGAAATATTCGAAAAATACTTCAAGTACATCTCATTTTATCAAGAAAGAAGTTTGGACTATTTGTCCTTTTCCTCTAAGAAGTTGCTCTAAGAGAAAAAAGTGAAGCGAATGTAATAGCAACATGTCTAGCACGTGTAGTGATAAATAGCGGCTGCGGAATATCGATCTAAAAAATTTCCAGTTTTAAGGTAGAAGAACTGAAGAAAGCAATAAAGTCGAAACAGCTTGAAAAAGTTTCGTCCTAATCTGCATGGAAATAGCGCTTTGTTATCAACCGTTAGAAAATGACAGTATTCTTACCACTTTTCTCTTCCATGCAATGCATTTAGGAAATAGACTAGCTTCGTGACAACATACTTATCACTTTAGGATAAGCTAAATCACTATTGTTTTCATGCATAGAATTCCGGTAGTATTCTGTCATTGAGAAAAATTTCTTAGCTATTGGGGGAGCAAGGTCTTTCTCAATTTGTCCCCAGACTTCAGTAATCATTCGACAGCATAAATCTCGGCAACTCCAACACTGTGTCTGTTTTCTAGAAAGTCCTTTTCTAAGTACATTGGAGGAGCGAAAATAAAACCGAGTTTTACATTCAACGCGCATTATCGCGCGCATTTTCATTGTTTAATTGAAAAATTTCTCCTCAGTTTCGAAAATTTCGAGTTTTCCGTACAAGTGTTGTTGAAAAACTTTGGGCTATCGGACTGCGTTTTCCTTTTCGCTTTACATTGCTAAATAAGCCCACTACTACGTCAAAACCTAAACAGCCTAAGCCCAGGAAAGCACAGTTTGTTTTTCAACTCTTTGGCCCTCAGTGAAAACCTTTTCGAAAACCAAATTTGCTTCAGATGAAACGATACAGCTTTCGGCGTTGATCAATCCCTCAGGTATGCACCATGCATTCGTCTACAATTTATAACATCGTTTGAGTGAATGAATGCATATCTGGCCTTTACAATGACTCGCGCTGGCCTCTCGCTGTATCCAGTCAGTGCTGCTTATCCGCCCAGACAAGACTGAGACCAGTCTAATATCAATTTACCGAAATCGGAAGGATGGAAGGCTGGTGAGCCATGAGTGCGAGATCGAGCCATAGACCTCTTGTGCGACGCAGGGCACCTCTAACCATTGCGCCTCATGCGCTCCCTTGCTTGAGAATCAACTTAATTTATGCTATTAAATATTTATCAAAAGTCCGTTGAAATACCATACACAAACCCTTGCTGCCTCGATGCCTTTTGTTGTGAATGTTGCAGAATCCCATCTACACAGTATTTCATACATACTAACCGACAAAAATTGTCCGAGTTTGAAACTCAAATCTATTATCATTGATCAGCGCACTAAAAGGGCCTTTTCAGGAAAACAAGCATTGCACTGCAATCGCCGAAATTTGAGCTTTTGAATGATTACCAAAAGTCTGAGGAAAAAAAATCAGGGAGGCCTTATATCGAAAGAGTGGACAATGCGTGATAACACAATTATAACAAAACTCCATGATATTATAGTTTCATTGCAGTGGGGAGCCGATTATCAACATAAAACAGCTATAAGCAAGCGAATTAGTACGCTAATCTATTATGAATACATCCAAATAAAGACACTTTTCTTGCAAAAATGGATGTGTGTATCAAAGCAGACACAAAACTATCTGCCGCCAGCATGGGACGAACCTGCGACTTTGGACTTATTAGACCACGCTCTAACCGACTGAGCTATGGCTGCCATTGATCCTACACCTACAGAAAGGATAGTGATACTTATAATATGAAAGGGAGTGCGACTGTATCCTTATGAAGTAGAGCGCTTAGAAAGGGTAAGTTTGTCTATTAAATCGGATGCAAAGCAATATGCCGCCAGCAGGGGTCGAACCTGCGATCATGGGCTCACTAGACCAACTTTCTAACCGACTGAGCTATGGCGGATGGCCGTTCCTCTTACACGTACAAAAAGCATAATGTTACTAACAAAATTGAAACGAGTGCAACTGTATCCCTATGAAGTTGAGCGCCTGGGAAAGAGTAAGTTAGTCTAATCGGACGCAAAAAACTATGTGCCGCCAGCAGGGTTCGAACCTGCGACCTTGGGCTTATTAGACCCACGCTCTAACCGACTGAGCTATGGCGGCTTTTTCTCTTACACTTACAAAAAGGATAATGTTACTAATAATATGAATGGGAGTACGACTGTATTCTTATGAAGTTGAGCGCCCCAGAAAGAGTAAGATCGTCTTTTAAATCGGATGCAAAACCACGTGCCGCCAGCAGGTTTCGAACCTGCGATCTTGGGCTTATCAGACCCACGACCTAACCGACTGAGCTATGGCGGCTTTTCCTCTCACATCTACAAAAAGGACAATGTTACTAACAAAATTAAAACGAGTGCAACTGTATCCTTGTGAAGTTGAGCGCCTGGGAAAGAGTAAATTAGTCTAATCGAGTGCTAAAACTATATGCCGCCAACAAGGTTCGAGCCTGCGACCTTGGGCTTATTAGACCCACGCTCTAACCGACTTAGCTACAGCCGCCGTTGCTCTTACACTTACAAAAAGAACAATATTACTGATAATATGAAAGGGAGTGCGACTGTATCCTTATGAAGTTGAGCGCCCCGGAAAGAGTAGGTTAGTCTAATCGAGTGCTAAAAACTATGTGCCGCCAGCAGGTTTCGAACCTGCGATCTTGGGCTATCAGACCCACGCTCTAACCGACTGAGCTATGGCGGCTTTTTCTCTTACACTTACAAAAAGGACAATGTTACTAACAAAATTAAAACGAATGCAACTGTATCCGTATGAAGTTGAGAAGCCTGGGAAAGAGTAAGTTAGTCTAATCGAGTGCTAAAACTATGTGCCGCCAGCAAGGTTCGAGCCTGCGACCTTGATCTTATTAGACCCATACTCTAACCGACTGAGCTATAGCGGCATTTTCTCTTACACCTACAAAAAGGACAATATTACTAATAATATGAAAGGGAGTGCGACTGTATCCTGATGAAGTTAAGCGCCTGTTGAAGAGTAAGTTTGTCGATTAAATTGCACGCAAAACAGTGTGGTGCCAGCAGTTGTCGAACCTGAGACCTTGGGCTTATTAGACCCACGATCTAACCTACTGAGCTAGCATTGTTGGAAAGTTTGTTAGCTGAGAAACAAGCTACTGTCGAAGAAATGTATAGATTGCACTGAGCCGACTCTGAGATGTTTGGTACAAAAGACGAGTGAATTTTCAATCATGCGCCGTGATAGTGCTTTCTTAGCGAGCTGCGCGTATTAAGATCAACTCATCACGTTTCTTTTTTGGCTACAAATAGTTCCTTCTGGCGCATTTCGTATTCGGCAATGTTCTTGTTTCGCCAACCACTGTGAGTCTTATCAACCGATGGAAATCACGCCCTACTTTGAAAAATTGAGAAGCAATCTTGGAAACCGACACACTGTCAATCAATACTAGTTTTTTATGATCTAGTCAATATTGCGAGTTTGTTGATTAACTTATTTACCTAATATTTCGACGTCTTTGTTAACCCCGGATTTGTGATTCGAGTCGAAAGCCCACAGCCTTTCGTCGCGGCGTACGATCGACCTGAGTCGTCGCTTCTAAAGGGGAAGATGACGTCGATACGTTAGCCGACTAAAGTTTGTCATTAACCTCATGTTATGAGCATAACCATATAGAAAGAAATTAGTGATCGATTCTGACAAGATTAATGAGCGTTTGTAGCGCAATGCTTAGAGGTGCCCTGCTTCACACACAAGTTCGATTTTGATCTCGCGCTCATGGCTCATCAAGGTATCCGTCCCTCCAGTGTCGATAAATTGGTACCAGAGTTGTCTCAAAAGATAAGCAGCACTGACTCAAGACAGTGGTAGGCTATAGCGAGCCATTGGATGGGCCAGATATGCTATCAGTCACTTTAGACGACGCTAAAAATCGAATACGAGTGTATGGCGTATCTTTTGGGGTTTGATCAACGCCGAGAGCATTATCCTTTACCTTTTACTGACAAAATTAGAGGAGGCTTGGTCTTCAAAATAAAAGATATCACTGTTAAGAAAAAGTGCTGTCCCAAGGAGTTCAAAATACTTCACAATGGTTAATGGAGATTTGCTCGTAAAGTAGCTTTCGATGCCTTAGAAAAAATAATTGCTGATTGCCGAGGAACAGAATAAGTTCGATGGATAGGACGGATTACTTGAACTCAATCAATTATGCGATGTTGTCCTGCAAAAGAGGTGACCAAAAATGATTGAGTACCAGCAATTTTCTTTCCATTTTAACCATTAAGTGACACTTTGTGGGTAATTGAGGCAATTTATTGTCGGATATATGGGACGTAATTTGTATTGTAACAATTCAATTATCCGTGACACACCACTGTTTTGTGAGCTCCTCTTCAATAGCGTGTTCTGTTATATGACAGCCAAGCTGTTATTTGGTTGCGAAAAGTGTGCAGACAAAACAGTATAAAAGACGACTCATACAGCAGCGGTTAGCACGCACACTCGAGAAAGGTAACGTGGGTTGAATTACTGCCATGGTCTGAAGTTCCCCATATGTTTCAACATTGTTGAGTTCTCTTCTCGAAAAATAAATGATGTCATTCCACTTTCAACAATCTTTCCCTTGTCTGCGAAAGAGAATAAAACCTTATTCAATGTGTGATATTTTTCAACCATATTTTCATAAAAAAGATGCGTATCGGCGTTTTCTGATGGTTGGGCCTCATTGAGCAGGGTAAAAGGAAGATACTATAGAGGACCTAACATTTTATCGTCGCGTCAAACACCACACTACTTTATCAGATACTTCTCTGGATGCTAAGAGCAACGGTGCGTCGTACGTAGATGTGCTAGACGACTCTATGCGCAAACGGAAAAAAGATTAACGTCTGTGTTCGTTGTTTTCCTCGATAAATAAAAGAATGTTGTTAACAAAAAAACTTATGCAATACTGACCGAAGTTTCGGCGTAATCTCTGTCTTCAAAGTCTGGAAAACTCAATAGATACAGAATTACCCAGTCAAGCTTTTCGTACCCTCAAAAGAAAAAAGCTCGTTGCACATTTTTTTGTCGTTTCCGGCTCTCTAAATTGTTTCTGAAACCTCATCTGTTAATTTTAAAACAGTTCCATCTTTGGTTCAAATTTGGTTAAGAGGTATCTCATCCTAATTAAACGTGCTCAAAAATTCCGATTGACTTTCTACGCACGTCATCGACCAGAAACCACGGATGGAAGAACTGAAGGCCCAGTGAAATCAAAGGAATGTTCTAAAATATGGTTCTAAATATGTTATAATATAATATGTAATATATGTAATATGTAATATGTGGTTCTAAAATAACGGGACGCAGAATGTTCCTTCCTGTTTCATCTAATGATTCCTTTTACCAGCTGTTCAGAAACAGCAATGATCAAAATCTCCGTAGCATCACTCAAAAGAGCACAGTAGAGGCGAATTTGCTGCGATTATGTAGAGAAGAAGACAAGCGTGGGTACTAACCAATAAACTGTTAAAAAAAAGCGCCACGACAGACCAACGGGCTCGGTGGTCTGTTTCTTTACAAAAGGCCTAAAAGGAGAATGTGCTGCTCAGCGAATCCCTACTGAAAGAAAGGCTCACTGGTCTACTCATGCACTCATTGAGTTTCGCTGATGCCGGCTCGTGTCACTAGACCTTTAGTGGTATGACAAGTGATGCAGGTGAATTAAGAGAATTACAAATACCTAGTGTAAGACTCAAGTCTATCGGAATCTGGTCTAAACTGTTGTAATATGAGTACCTGATAACAAACTCTGGATGATGACGATCAATAGGCCAAGAATTGGAGATAGTATATTAGATACTATGTACTCTACATACTACTCAGATGTTTGGAAGCCGAGTCGTATCAAATAGATGCCAGTATATAAGAACTAATTATGGAAGATATTATGCTTGAACTGCTTCACTAGTGACAAGATAAAGCATCTGAACTGCAAAGATAGACATACTGTTTTGATTTCTTCTTCCAGATAAGTTTGTATAGATTATTTCGTATAATGTTTCTATTTGACGTGACTTGTCATCACGATTTATCTTGCGTGCCCCAGCATTTGTTCTGATACGGCTTCTCATATTCACCCTCCTCAGAGGTCACTAAATCTTTCTTGGTGGCTTCCGCTCGACTACTGATTAAGGAAATCATGCGCTCAATGAATGTACTAGGATGATTGTAGAGTCGATTCTCTTAAAATTTGGAGATAACCGAGCTAAGGTGTTCCGACGTGGACTGCCACAGCTGTTGGGGTAGGGGGTTCGAGGCAGCACTGCCTACAAAGAGACTGCATTACTAAGCACTCCCATATTTTGTAAAACATGCGTAAAATGTGTTGATTTGGAAATTGGATGATGTAGAGATAATTTCCGTTGTGCATTGTCTTGAACGCCGATAAACCGATTTCATACTAACTAGATGAGCGATTTTTATTGTCACGTGTAAGAGACATAGTATTCTAGGAAGTATTTTGTAGACACAGAAGGCAGAGAGTTCGCGGCTCGATGGACATTACGAGTTTCCAATTGCTCACGATAATTGGAGCGAATTAGGTGCACTTAAATTACTGAGAGTCAAAATGAGTGAGATTCAGTTACGCTCGATTTTGCTTTTCCAGATGTATGTTGAAGATCAGTGTAAGGAAGACGGCCGACGCTGCTTTTGGGCAGGCACTACGACCGATCGGACCATGAATCATGGCTCAAGCGTTTTGAAGAAAGCGACACAAATTGTCCCAGTCAACCTTATTAAGGACGGCCAATCATCATTGGCGATAACGATCTGCGCTATAAAGATGTATAAAGGATGTTAGAATAAGGGATGTAGAACAGTTATGTAAGTGCGGCCGTAGCACCATTGCTCGCCATCTAACTGAACTGGGCTATCGCACAGTGATGTATCGACGGACACCTCATGCATCTGCCGACCATAAACGGGCTCTATGCATGCCCATGCGCGATAGTTCTCCTATGACCGCTTAGAAAAGTCTTTCCCAGGTTGATCATTACTGGAAAAGGTTCTTAGTCTACAATGAAAGTAATTTATGCCACGCCTGGTGGCTGCTTCGCGGCGAAGATCAGCTATCTTAATCAAAATGGAAGATCCAAACTCGGAAGGTTATGCATTCAAGTTTTGTGGAAATGGCACGGCATGATGCTTTGGAAATTCCTCGACAGCAAGCATGCAGTCAGCATTGTCATCTACAGAGAAAAGGGCTGTGGTAATTGGTGCAGTAACGCGAGAGAAGAGCCCGCAAGTCTGTGTTGCCATTCTACAGAATAAGGTTTGAACCCACACTACAAAATCGACTTCAAGACAAATAGAACAGTACTAACAACATTATTGAGATTCTTCAACTAATCAACTGATAAAAAAGAAGAATGTGCGAAAACTCCTGATGGCCGTAAAAACCAGTTGCTCATGATATATCGCTTGGAACGATATCAATGAAGGAAAGTAATGAACATTAGAGATAGAAAATAGCAAGGCACGTAAAGCAAAGCAAAGAAATAGGTGGCTCGAAAAAATTCTAGACGCAGAATGAAATACTACCTTTGAGCAAAGAAAGAAGAAGATGTTCATAACTAATGCGATATGATCGTAAAAACTTCATAATATATCTCCTGGCAGTTGCCTCCGGTCGAACCTCGCAGGTATGAATTTCATTTATCGTTATATCAATAGTACACTCCTAGCGATACAGGAATACAAGGATGGAGGCCTCGAGCGGGAATCGAACCCGCGTCTCATCCTAACCGGAGGCGCGTGCTCTACCATCGAACCACCGAGGCACATTTGCGCCGCCAGTCATTCTTCAACATCTCTATGTTAGGTATCAACCACCGACCTTTAACAGGTTCGCTCGAGTATGCGATTTCGCTATAAAATCCACTTGAGCTGACAGCCATTGTAATAACTAATGCTTGAAATTTCTGATATTTTAGTGGATTTTTCGCAGTGTTGTGATCATTCACATATTTTGAGAAAATTGAGTGGCGAGCAATAAATTCTCATGCAGAAAAGCAGTTACACAAGACTGCTAGCTGCGTGCCATTGTGCGGACTAGCGGAGAGGAATGAGACAGACGACGGTTCTCGACCGGATGGACGGCGGCACGAAGAGCCTTCCAGTGTTTACACACTGGAGGTTAAGGATGGAGAGGAGATGGACCCGCGGTTCCGAAAGGGTTAATTATTTTAGAATTCTCTGTGAAAGAAGCCAAACATTATCCATTATTATTGTTTTTGTGCTCAGCTAATTTCTAAAATGTTCAGCTAGGATTAATATCGTAAAACTACACGTGAATGCTTAGAACGGAAGCATTTAAATCAAACTTCGTTTGAATAAGACAATCCAGAAGTTTAGAGTATTGAGCAGAAATTCGACGTCAGAAGGGAGTTGGACCCGCGTTTCCTCCATACCTGAAGCGGGGGCAATTTTTGCAGCACATACCCCGGGTATGGGTGAAAAGCGGATTTCAGTCCCGTCTGAGTTCCAATATTTTCGTACCATTCTATACTCTTGGATGATCTCTATAACCTTATACCACGGCTTAAAAAACAGCGGAAAAAATAATTGGTTCAATTAGATCATTTCTCAAATAGAAATGGGATCCAGTAGATCTCCAAATTGATGAGGAAGGCAATCAGAAAAAAACAAAGAATATAAGAATAAGCAAGTACATAGAGTCATGTGCAAAACTTTTTCGTCAGGAAGGACTCAAACCCGATGTCACCCTATCCGGGTGCGCGTGCTTTACATGTCGCACTACCAGTGCCAGTTTTGTCACCACTCTTCAAAAGCATAAAACCGCTGATGACTGGTTGCTAACAAATTGATGCGTTCTAGCGTAGAAAGAGCAGCGGAAAAAAGAGTCAGTAGTGCAACAGGTTAGAGCAAGCGTCCTTGGAAAGGGTGATGCAGGATGGATTTCTGCCTGATGTAAAAGTTTTGCACATCACTCTATATTATTGGGTACACCTACAACATCATACCACCGCTAAAAGTGGTTAAATAGAAAAGAATTATATAGAAGAACAAGTATGTGGCCTACGCATAATCCTCGTAATCCATATAACACTTGAAACGAGTCGCACATGGAAAAGAAGGACACCTTGACATCCTTTGAGGGAGCAAGCAACAAGTGCTCATTCTCTTTACATAGTGGGCACGTCTATAATGTATCAATGACACCAGAAATACCAGCTGCAAAAATAATGCAGTGAATCTCCGCTTTTGTTATGTGATATGAAAAACTCTAAACCTCGCCAAGGAAGAGCCACAAACACTTCTCGCCCATTCCGGAGAAGAGTGCTAACCAATACATTACCACAAGCAGTACTTATATGTTAAATGGCGATTAATAAATATGCTAACTCATTCGCTGGACAAGATTTCTGCATGGAGTGTTGGTAATCGTCCTGAGTTTTGAACATCTGGCTGGAGCAGTACGTGGCCAATTTTCAAATCACCCTTTTTCAACGATGTAAGATCCAGAATAAAATTATGTTCCTCACGACCAGCGTTTTCTTACCTATTTGGCTTATATTTAGCTGGATAAGACTACTTATTAAGGCTGCTAATACTCGTTCGATAGCACAAGCCTCGAAGAACTCAAAAGTCTGTTCGTCTTCTGAAAAAGCTCTTTTGGGAGCGCTGTAGGAGAAAGAAAACATCTGCGCTTCATAACATGCTGGGCGGGACTCTTTCTTTAGACTAGTAGTAATTTTCGATATCGTAGGTTTCAATGATTGCAACGCTGTGCTTATTATGTGGAAAGATTGCTTCACTGCAGTACAGCAGGGAAAATAAGATCGAGCTTCACATAATCGGTGAGCTTGCTTAGCAACCAACTCACGGGCAGAGGGCGGAGCGTCTGACCGCTGCCCTAACGAGATAGACATGTGCGGTGCAACTTGTTTTATGTTGAGATTTTTTTTCTTTCAAAGAATTTCTATATAAGACGATTGGCTCAAATACTACGAAATTTTCTCTACACGTTAATATATTTTCCGTGCTTCCCACGGATTAATCGCTTGACAAAAATGAGAGAGCGCGAAGAATGTGAAACATAATTTTATGTTGAGTGCTACAGTGCTATAAACACGCTTTCGATCGATTACTAATTTCCCTATGGTGAATTCTTGTCCAGCGAATGAGGTCGAGTACTCATTTATCGCCGTCTAACATAAAAGTGCCCGGAAGGCTTTTGTCCAACGTAAAAGTGCCCGGGACATTTGTTGTTCTGCTACCACTCTATGTTTCATACAAATCTCAATTACCTGGTGCCAATGAGCCCATATGTGCTTGCCAGGACATGCCGTTGACGATTGGGTGATGAAAGAATCGGTACGTTGGAATAAAAAGTGATGGCGGTAGCTCCGCTAGTGCACTGTTTCGCACACGCCGCCGAAAAGGATGATACACGGGTTCAACTACCGTTCCGCGAGGTTCACTTTTACATATCATTCAACACATTTAACACAGCTATGACATCATGTCACAGTTGAAAAAGCGGTTACGTAAACATTTGTTGATTAACCGGCTGACTTCCGCGGAACAAAACTGGGCAGGTCCGCCAGTATGAGAACGACTCTACCTCTTCTGCCTCGAGCGGTCGCCGACCACAGTACTACTTTCCACAAATTAGTACACTTTTTGTACTTCGGATTTGAAGCATACTGTTACTTTCGTCCATAGTGGTCTACTAAACCTTTTCGAGAAACAGTTTGAGCATTGAATTTGCCAAGATTTGGGCCATCGACTATGCTCTGTGTATCAATTAGAAGTGATCCAAACTTTAGCTGAGGAACTAATGTAAACATAGTGTGAAACATAATCTTCCTTTTCTGCGTACTACACAATCCCTCAAAAAGCGTCATGCTCTACAATAAACGTGCAACACAAGTGATTTCATCAAGAGCACAGCCTCAGTAGATATCAAATAGATGGAAAATCAATTTTTTTATTATTTATTTATTTGCACCACCTTTACGCCTAGGTAACTGCTCCTTATATGCTCATTAGAACGAGCACATCTCAATGCTAAACGGGTTGATCGGTCTATTTTACCACAATGCAGCCTTTCATACACAGGATTTGTAAGCATAACAGAATTGTGCTACAGTTGCTTGATTTGCAATACCAGTGCACATGTAGCTTTCGAGTACATTCGTAACATGGGAAAAAAACAATAACGCCCAGTATTTTGATTCAGATCTACCAAATAATGCAGATTCTTGCAGCACAAGGCCTCTTTCAACGAACAAATGATTTCATTGATATGAACCATACCTTAGTGTAATCAACGTCTCCACGGCATTTGAACCTTCCAGAGACGCTCATGGTGAGCTCATACGAGGTTGTGATGAGCTTATCTTGGCTGACGCCGTTCCGGCTGCTATCGCATTTACAAACTCTGGAAGGATAAATCTGACATGTTAGTCTCCTAATAAAGCACTTCCCTCTTCAGCAAGAAAAAATTTAATAGAAAAACGAAGAAGTTCGACTTTCTATAAACCTCGGCATAATCAATTAATATATGAAAATCGAGAAATCTTATCATGATTAGCTGAAGCTAGGTTCGTAACTTGACCTAATGTTGTTTCACAAGGTATTTGAACAAAAAAGAATTCGTGCCACAATTTGAAACAGTTATCACAAATCACACTTATGACGGCATCTAATGAAGAAAATGTAGAATAAAGAGATGTTAAAGGAAGTTGGTAGCCATACAATAGCCGTCAAGTGCCTCAAGAACACATAATTGCAGGCATCTACCTCTTGATTTTAAATTACACCTCTTTGTTACACCCTGACTTTGAAATGTATTTGATTACCAAGATTTTGAAAAAAAGTAGAATATTTATTCAATAACGACATATGACGATAGTGTAAATGAATGATTACATAAATGAACGCATCAATGAGAAAGAGGAAAAACAAATCATAAGATGTAGTTGATTGAGCATACTTACAATAAGGTGTGGGTAAGAATCCACTTAGTTTGGTTATATTTAATCCTTCTTCTGCCGGTTGCGACTTATTCCACGAGATCTGTCTTTCCTTGATCCGCGACTTTTCAGCAAATCCTGCCTCTCATCTGGGAGGGTGCACTGTTTTCTGGTCCTCAACACCTGTTGATCTTCTGAGAATCCGACACGTTTGGAGAACTGAGATCTACACAACAACATAGTGTAATTATAAATCTGACCTTCAATGCATAAACCCTGTATACTCATTTGTATGGATACAAAAGAAGTTTTCTTGAGATTTCTATATTTTTTCTGTTATTTAAGCAGCGTTGTGATGTTCTCAATACACATCTAAGAACGTTGAATGGTGTACAAAATATTCTAGCCCAAGCGAGGTAAAACCCGCGTTTCGCCCATAACGAACGCGTGTTCTACTACTACATCAGTGAAACCACAGCTGCACTGCCACTATTTCTTCGATATGGACTATCGCAGCTGTCAATAAACAGCTTTCAATGGGATTGGTCGGAAACCCAGATTCACATAACGCCTGTGATCGAAAACTTTGCATACCAATCAACTTTCTCAGAGGTATATTTCTTGATTACCCTCGAAGGCTTCTGTGACTTGTCAGCATTTAGCTGACAGCTCAAGTTAACAAATTACTATTATCCTCTATTTTATCCCTCGACAAAATGCTCGTTTATGCGCAATGTATGCATAATGGTGCAAAATATTTCTCCACATGCTCTGAATAGAACAAAAATAATGATGTGTTAATATAAAAAGTCGTGCTAAAACCGCTACGCACTTACTTG